TTGTCCAAGCCCCCTCCGCCCAAGCTGGAGACCATACACCATTTCTGACAGATGGCAGTCCAGTCTCTTCTTGAAAGCTTCCAATGATGAAGCTCCCATAACTTCTGTTCCATGGGTTGATTGCTCTCACTGTCGGAACACTTTTCCTTATTTCCAGGTTGAACCTCTCCTTGATCAGTTTCCATCCATTATTCCTTGTCTGGCCTTCAGGGGCTATGGAAAATAGCTTGACCCCCCCCCTCTCTGTGGCAGCCCCTCAAATGTTGGAAGACTGCTATCATGTCTCCTGGTCCTTCTCTTCACTAGACTAGCCATGCCCAGTTTGCAACCGTTCATCGTATGTTTTAGCCTCTAATCCGCTAATCGTCTTTGTTGCTCTTCTCTGCACCCTTTCTAGAGTCTCAACATCTTTTTTTATAGTGTGGTGACCAAAACTGGATGCAGGATTCTAGGTGTGCTCTTACTAAGGCTTTATAGTGGTATTAGTACCACTCTATCAAGTTTGAAAGCCTGGGCTCTCAGGCTTCAGGTACCTCTGAACTACTTTGTCTTCCTCGTACGTCACCTCTGTCATCCTCTTCCTGTTTTTCCCCCACTTAGATTGATAATAGCTTTTATTATCACAATTGAACACGCCGTGGGAGGTAAAGGGAAGCTATCTGCATTGCTATGTGTCAATTCAGCAGCGACAGTTGTAACACTGAGGTGGTTTTTTTTTTTTCTTGCAGTAATTGACACAGAAAGAAGGGTGTCTATTCTATATCTGGTCTTTTTTCCCCTGATTCATCTATTTTTTTGCAAGTAGCATGAGAAGCTCCTCAGGGCATTTTGCTTAGAAAGAAAGATAAGGATTCATTCTTATACATTGACCTCATTTGAATTCCTTTTTACCTAAAGTGAGGGCTTGTTTCTTCCACCCATAATATATAAGCAATAAATCACCAACAGTCGGCTGGTTTACAAAAAATGCTTTGAAGGGCAAAATGAATAGTCGCAATGAAACATTATTTTAGGACACAGTTTATCCCAAAGTGTTATTAAAGGCAAATGTTTGCTGTAAATTTTATCACAACTGGAGTTTGCCGAGGGGCATCCCAGGTGCGAGGTTTCGGTTTTATAATAATAATTATTTTTTTTTACTGTTCTATGATTGCTTTATATATTTCGTTTTGTTGTGCTGGTTAAGAAGGGTGGCCATATACGACTTTTAAATAAATAAATTTCCACACACTTGATCTTCTGTTAGAGTGGAATAGAATAGCAGAGTTGGAAGGGACCTTGGAGGTCTTCTAGTCCAACCCCCTGCTTAGGCAGGAAACCCTACACCACTTCAGACAAATGGGTTATCCAACCTCTTCTTAAAAACTTCCGGTGTTGGAGCATCCACAACTTCTGGAGGCAAGTTGTTCCACAGGTTAATTGTTCTAGTTGAGGCATCTTCTTTTTAGTTGATTCTTTTTCACCCATAGGAATAATTTTCAAGGTATTCACATTTGTGTATTCTTTACATCTCTACAAAACAAGCAAGCACTTATATCTACAGAAATTCTCAATCATCCAGGTCAGGGGTCTCCAACCTTGGCAACTTGAAGACTTGTGGACTTCAACTCCCAGAGTTCCTCAGCCAGCTTTGCTTTGCTGGCTGAGGAACTCTGGGAGTTGAAGTCCACAAGTCTTCAAGTTGCCAAGGTTGGAGACCCCTGATCCAGTTCACGGTTGTCCCAAAAGGTGCTTTTTCCAAAAGGCAACTGGACTTTCTTCGTTTGGTTTTTTTTGAAAACGTTTCGCTGCTCATCCAAGAAGCTTCTTCAGTTCTTGGTTTGTTTCATTGAAAACATTTCGCTGCTTGTCCAAGAAGCTTCTTCAATTCTGAACCGAAGAACCTTTTTGGATGAGGAGCAAAACGTTTTCAAAGGAGGGGTGGGTGGAGAGAACCCAAGAAAGTCTAGTTGCCTTTTGGAGGAAAAGCACCTCTAGAATAACAAATACTTAACATTGTCCCTGATTTTTACTCAGTCTAGTTCAGGGGTCAGCAACCTGTGGCTCTGGAGCCGCATGTGGCTCTTTCACCCCTCTGCTGTGGCTCCCTGTCACTCAAAATATGTGTCACAACGCCAATGTGTGACGCCTACCGGCACGCAATTTATTGAGCTTTTCAACCCCTGGTAGGCCAGCCATGGATAAATCCAAGAAAAGAAAAGTTTCAGAAGAAAACAGAACGTTTAATTCAACTACATATGCTAGTTTTGTGGCCGCTCAAGAAATAGTCAAGCACGGGAAGGGTTTTGTGGCTCCCGGTGTTTTCTTTTCTGTGGGAAAACGGTCCAAATGGCTCTTTGAGTGTTTAAGGTTGCAGAACCCTGGTCTAGTTACATTAGTACAGTATCAGTTTTTCCATGGAACGGTTAACAATAGACTTGTTTCCAGTGAAGGACTTCCCATGTGATTTAATTCTTCCTTAAAAAAACCCAGTAGTCTTGAGACTACTGTTGTTTGTTAGAACATCTCATGAGGGAGGTCCAGTTGTGGTGTCAATCTCATCAGCCAGCTAAGCGCCAAACATTTTCAGTGATGAAATCAACTCCACCTAAAAGAAGAAGAAGGAAAAAAAAAAAAACACCACATGATCTGCAACTTTGTTTAACAAGTCTTATAATTTGCTTTGGGAATGCAGTTCTCCTTTTCTGGTTATGTCAACAGATTTTCATCACTTTCCCTGGGTAAGCCATCAAAGGCTGCAAGAATGGTTACACCAGGGAGATATGGTAATGCTTTAAAGCGTCTGCTTGATGCATTCATTTGCTAAAGGGTAAATCTCTGTCCCAGCAATCAATATCAGACTTGTTAGACTGTTTATGCAGCCTCTTGCCTGCCTACGTATTCCAATTTGATCCTCACCAGTTGTGTAGGACTTCGGCTCCCATAATTCCCCAGGTATGAACCTTAGAGGACTGTGGAATTGAATCCAGTGTCAGGTTTCGATGCTATCTCAAAATAAATGACTTCCAAACTGCCGATCTTTAAGGAAATTTTCTCTTTATTCGAGCACAGCAACCTGATCCTGACTCTTCGTGGTCAATACTGACCTTTGCTCCCCAATCCCTCCCTTTCCGATCCCCAATTCTCTGCTTCTCATTGGCTATCTTCCAAATCACTTTCCTGATTCCTTTCTTCATCAGGTCACAGGAATGTCTCCCCCCTCCCCATCTCCGAGGAGACCGAATCTTCAAATGGATTTAGCAGGCAAAAGTTCAGGCTTCTCCCTTTTCTATGTCAGTTCTGAGACGCTGTCATCCAGTACATCAGGTTGAATAAAACAGTGTTCTGGATCCATAGTTAGATCCAGGATCTAATCAGAAGTCCAATGTAGGGAGAACACCTCCATCTACAGAGACTGAGCCACAATTTCCAAGAGCCTCGGCCAGCAATGATCACTAAAGAAGGATTTGGGACCTGTAGTTCAGCAATAGACCTCCAATACAATGAATGGCTGCAGGAACTGGGCATGGCTAGTCTAGTGAAGAGAAGGACCAGGGGAGACATGATAGCAGGGTTCTAATATTTGAGGGGCTGCTACAGAGAGGAGGGAGTCAAGCTATTTTCAAAAGCACCTGAAGGCCAGACAAGGAACAATGGATGGAAACTTCAAGCTAGAAATAAGGAGACATTTCTTGACAGTGAGAGCCATCAACCAATGGAACAGAAGTTGCCTTGGAAGTTGTGGGAGCTTCATCACTGGAAGCTTTCAAGAAGAGACTGGACTACCATCTGTCAGAAATGGTGTAGGGCCATGATGGCGAACCTATGGCACGTGTGCCACAGGTGGCACGCGCAGCCATATCTGTGGGCATGCGAGCGTTGCCCTAGCTCAGCTCCAGTGCACATGCGCATACCAACCAGCTGATTTTCGGGCCTTCTGGGCCTACTGGACATTGGGAAACAAGCCATTTCTGGCCTCCAGAGGGCCTCCGGGGAGGGGGGAGGCTGTTTTCACCCTCCCAGGCTCCTAGAAAGCCTCTGGAGCCTGGGGAGGGCGAAAAAACGGGCCTACTGGGCCCACCGGTAATCTTTTTGCCATCCCGTGCCAAAAGTGGGGGGAGCACGGGGGGGCATGCCCAGGGGGCATTGAATTATGGGTCTGGGCATGTATGCATGCGACCCCCGCTTTTGGCATGCGATGGCAAAAAGGTTAGCCATCACTGGTGTAGGTAGGGTCTCCTGCTTGAGTGGGGGAGGGGTTGGACTAGATGACCTACAAGGTCCCTTCCAACTCTGTTAATCTGTTAAATCTGTTAACAGATCCCTTCCAGATCATGTATTTAAAAAATATCTATGTTAAGATATTGTTGTGTTACCAACCAGCAGAGTGTAGAACACAGAGAAACGTTGCTGAGAGCAATGAATAAGAGATGTGCAAACTGGTTTATCAAAAGTTTACTTTATAGTGAAAAAACAATCTCATAGTCTTTAAACAATCCAAGTCTTTGCCAGTTAAATCAGTCCAGTGATACAAAAATCTTCTTACCATACAAACAGTAGTTTGTTAGAATAACAAGTTCACTCTGGTAACAAACCACGATGGTAGCAGGTCCATCCACCGATGATAGCACAATGGTAGCAACTCCACACACAATGGTAGCATATCATCAACTGAATACGTTACAGTACCTTTCTTAAATATGTTTACAACTAGTGATTATCTAATTACAGCATGACTCAGCATTACAATGAATCAGCAGTAAAACTTTAAAGTCACACAATACATATTCATGTTAAAGTAACAGAACACATATATTGCCTGGACAACCTGTTAGGCTCAAACCATATCCTAACAATCTAGATAGCCAAGGAGTCTGGCTAACCAATTCTGCTGAAGGTGCTTTGTAAATTCCTAGAGATCCATAGTCTTTGGCTCTGTTTTTATTTTCTTCTCTAACCAAACCATACGGGATTATGTTCCTCGTGAAACCATGCTAACGATGCATTTTGCTTTCTTGCAGGAAGTTCCATCTCCAGCCTTGAAATTGTCTCTATATTCCCAGGGCAACGTTCGAAGGATTATCTTGGAGAATCCTGAGAAGGTAGGAAAGTTGTACTGTTGTTACAATGGCATTGGGTGTAAGACTGTGATGGCAAATGTTTTCGGCATCGAGTGCCCAAATAGGGACGTGTGTGCATGCACGCGTGCCAGAGCACCGGAAGCCCGAAAACCAGCTGACTGGCACACATGTCTTTTTTTTGGCTGTTTTTGAGTCCATTTTCAATCTGTTTTTCGGGCCATTTTTTGGTTGTTTTGGAGCCATTCTTTGAAAAGGCCCAGAAAACGGTCCAGAAAAGGCCCAGAAAATGGCCCGAAAAACAGCCTGTTCTTTGCCCATTTTTTGGGCTGTTTTCTGGCGCTCCGGCATCACTGATACCAGCTGGCTAGCATGCATGTGCTCGCCGAAAACCAGAACAGCAGCTGGCGACAGCATGCGTGCCCACAGAGAGGGCTCTGTGTGCCGCTTCTGGCACGCGCACCATAGGTTCGCCATCTCGCGTGTAAGATGTTGGAAGTAGATTTAAGTATTTGTGTGTGTGTATGTTAAAGTATAAATGGATCTATAAGGATATACAGGGAGGTTTCGATTTACAGACATTCATTTAGTACCAGTAATAAACAAAATTTGGGTTTCACCACTGCTCTAGAGTTCTCTCTCCAAATAAGCCTGGAGAGTAATACTGGAGATGAACAATTTAGTTTAATCTCTGGGAAGAGGGGAGTTTGAAGACGAGGGGAGTTCAGGAGAGTTAATCCTAACATTTACTTAACTGCATTCTTGACCTGACCCTGGCTGGGGGTTTTTTGGGGGAATGCGGCTTTTAGGTTGAAGAAAGTGATACCCCTTTTTCTTTTATCTATCTGACTGTTTATCCACCAGAGTCTCCTGGGAGGGTTGAAATGTGTGTAGATCAATTAGGAACAGACAGTCCTGTGCCTGCTATTTTTCTTGATCATCTGAGATTTAGCCCGTCCTTGTCTTGCCATTCTGGGCTTCAGCACAGAACAGATTAACAGAGTTGGAAGGGACCTTGTAGGTCATCTAGTCCTACCCCCCTCCAAGCAGACCTACACCACTTCTGACAGATGGCACTCCAGTCTCTTCTTGAAAGCTTCCAGTGATGAAGCTCCCACAACTTCTGAAGGCAACTTCTGTTCCATGGGTTGATTGCTCTCACTGTCAGAAAATTCCTCCTTATTTCCAGGTTGAATCTCTCCTTGATCAGTTTCCATCCATTATTCCTTGTCTGGCCTTTGGGTGCTTTGGAAAATAGCTTGAGCCCCTCCTCTCTGTGGCAGCCTCAAATATTGGAAGACGGCTATCATGTCTCCCCTGGTCCTTCTCTTCACCAGACTAGCCATGCCCAGTTCCTGCAACCATTCTTTATATGTTTTAGCCTCGGTCATCATTAATCATCATTTTGTAAAGTCAGATGCTTTGCAGTCTGCGAGAGCCTATGTGTCAATAAGGAGTTGCTTTGTTACTTCCAGGAGCCACTGTCTCCACTTCTGAGAGGAGGGAATAATGTGATCTATGAAAAGACCATCAGGAAATACGAGCTGCTAAATCCAGAAGAGGTAAGAGATTCTCCCCCCCCATCATCCATCCTTCCTTCCTTCCTTCCTTCCTTCCTTCCTTCCTTCCTTCCTTCCTTCCTTCCTTCCTTCCTCCCTCCCTCCCTCCTCCCTCCTCCCTCCTCACTTCCTTCTCCCTACTCCCTCCCTGCCTTTTTCTTTCCTCCCTTCCTTCCTCCCTTCCTTCCTTCCTTCCTTTCCTCCCTCCCTCCCTCTCCTTTTTCCTTCTTTCCCTCCCTCCTCCTTCCTTCCCTTCCTCCCCACTCCCTCCTTTCCTTTCTTACTCCCTTCCTACCTCCTTTCTTTCCTTCTCCCTCCCTCCCTCCCTCCCTCCCTTTCCTCCCTCCCTCTCCTTTCTTCCTTCTTTCCCTCCCTCCTTCCTTCCTTCCCTTCCTCCCCATTCCCTCTTTTCCTTCCTTCCTTCCTACCTTCCCTCCCCCTCCTCCTTCCTTCCTTCCTCCCTCCTCCTACTCCCTTCCCTTCCTTCCTTCTCCCTCCCTGCCTCCCTCCCTCCTTTCCTCCCTCCCTCCCTCCCTCCCTCCCTTCCTTCTGATGATTTTAAAGAGAAACCGGATGTTTTAATTTGACCGTTGTGCGGGGGAGTTCAAGAGCTAAAGAGGACAGAATCGTCTTTCGGTTGTCTGAGCCTTTAGCGGGTCTGTTTCTCTATGGAGGTTTGCACCTTTGGACCCAAACACCTGCCGTCATTTGATCTCCAGGGCCAATGAAAACAACTTAGCCAATTGCACGGAAAGCTGGACGCTGCCCTTGCAACAAAGCTGCCCATTCACTAGGCGCCCTGCCCTTTCGAAACAAATGAATGCGGAGCCTTGTTTCCCCTGGCCCTCCCTTCTCCAGGAGCATCAAGTTGCAAGGTGTTCCCTTTTTAGAGACTCAGATGAACTCAAGAGGTATTTTAAGACCGCTTGACAAGTCTGTGTGTTGAAGAATTGAAAGGAGGGGCGGGGGGAAGAACAGGTGAACAAGGAAACCCAAAGCATCGGCTTGTGTGAAAACTAGAAGACAAACCTCCTTGTGAGGTCCTTCGTGCTTTCTGAGTGTGCTTGTTTTCCTTTAGACATTTCATTACCCAGCTCTGTAATACCATCCGTACTAGAAGGGAATGGGGTTTGCTCTCTTTATATACCTTGCCCGTTCTATACACAGAGCAAACCCCCACTCCCTTCTAGCACAGATGATGTTACCTAGTTGGGTATTGAAAAGTCTGCAGGAAAGCTCAGAGGGCACCAAGGACCCCACAGTTCAACCCTGAGGAACCAATATTGCCTTCTGTTGGAAACATCCTTGGGATTCCCTGCCTTTCCCTGCAAAATTTCAGTTGAGAACAAAGAGACTTTGTCAAGCTGCTTTTGAGGGAGCTGATCAGGATGGAAAGCTAGACAAATATTGGAAGCACAACTAGACACATACCGTACTTTTTGGAGTAGAAGACACACTCCCCCCCCCAAAAAGAGGATGGAAATGTTGATGCGTCTTATACATCGAATACAGCCATTTTTGGCCTCCCGAAACCTTGCCCCATGTGTCCCCTTTTCACCCAAAACAGGCCCAGGTTTTGCAAAAACAGGATGCGCAGAGGGTTTGGGAGGCCTGCAGAGTGCTCCTGGGGCCTGGGAAGGGCAAAAATCGGACGCGCGGAGGCCAAAAACTATTTTTTTCTTGTTTTCCTCTTTGAAATCTTGGTGTGTCTTACATTCTGGTGCGTCTTATAGTCCGAAAAATAAGGTAAATTAGCGTGGCGCTGAACATCTTATACAAAGCCTGGTGGAATTTTTTAAGGCATTTTCTGAAACGGGACACGGTTGGGAAGGAAGATCTTCCATACCCACTAAAATGAACAGTATCAGCAACGTTCAGTTGGAGGATCTGATGTTCAGACACAGATTCTTTGGCCACCGAATTGTTCCTGTCATTACAGAGCTTGGAAAAAAAACCGTTGCATCTGGGTGGGTGATAAACTTTCTGGAGGTTTGAAAAAGAGAAGCTGGACATTCGCCTCTCAGAAAAGATTTAATTGGTTAAACGTTTTTGAGAGTGGAATGTCCAATCTCTTTTTCACATTGCAAAGGATTGATCGTGGTGGTGTTTTGCCCACAGCACACACAAAGTTTGTACAAAACTTAATTTACTAAAATAACTCAGTCTTTTTCAAAACAAAGGCTGTTAATAAACTTTCTTAACAGCCTACAAGAAACCAAAGATAAAGTAATCACAATCTTACTAAGGTTGGCAGAAAGCCCAGAAGCAATTTGCAGAGAATCCAGACGCGAAGGAGAGTGAACTAAAGTTGTTCCCTACAAATTGCTTCAGTCGGCGTTCCTCCTTAAATAGGCTAAGGGAATGGCCAATTAGCCCCAAGCCTTACTCTCGAGGAGACCTCCTCCTGAGGAGCCACTCCTGCCTTTTGGCAGCTCTGCCCGCCCGTGCATCGAGAAGAGGCTCCTCCTCTTCGTCCTCTTCACTTATGGGAGCTTCTGGAGGTTCTGAAGGCCCCGGCTGAATCCCCGCCTCTGGCACCACATCTTCTCCAGCCTCCTCATTGTCCGACTCGAGTGCCAGCTGCACAGGCTGCTGGCGCAACACCACACCAGCCTCCTCGCTGTCAGAATCAGCTACAATCTGCACAGGCTGCTGACGGGCCACAATAGGTGGTCTGTTCTAGCTCTGTTGTGCTTGTTATTCTTTGGCATCCAAGTTTGGCTTCATGGATGGGATTTCAGGGGAATCCATGCCAAAGTCCCAAAGGGAAGACAATGAACAATTTTATAATGGACAAATCTAAACGGTCAAACTGCAAAACGTGATTGGAATTGTGTGAATCAGAATCAGAATCAGAATAGAGCTGGAAGGGACCTTAGAGGTCTTCTAGTCCAGCCCCCTTATCAGGCAGGAGACCCTAGACCAGTGGTGGTTAGCCTATTTGCCATCGCGTGCCAGGAGCGGGGTGGGGGGTGGGGGTGGGAATGTTGTGTGTGTGTGTGTGCCCATACCCATAATTTTATGTGCCCTGCCCCCGCACATGCACGTGAAACCCCCCTCCCGCTCCCCCCACTCCTGGCACACGATGGAGTCCCACCGGAAGTTGGCAAATGGGCTGTTTCCCACCTCCAGAGGGCCTCTGGGGTGGGGGAGGGAAGGCCGTTTTCGCCCTCCCCAGACTCCTAGAAAGGCTCTGGAGGCTGGAGAGAGCAAAAAACGGGCCTTCCAGTCCCACCGGAAGTTGGCAAACAGGCTGTTTCCGGCCTCCGGAGGGCCTCTGAGGAAATGGAGAAGGCTGTTTTCACCCTCCCCAGACTCCTTGAAAGGCTCTGGAGACTGGGGAGAGAGAAAAACAGGCCTTCCCCACCCCCACCCCCAAGGCCCTCCGGAGGCAGGAAACAGCCTGTTTCCCTATTTCTGGTGGGCCGAGAAGGCCCGAAAATCAGCTGGCGTGCACCAGAGCTGAGCTCGCGTGCCCACCGATATGGTTACGCGTGCCACCGGTTCTCCATCACGGCCCTAGACCATTTCAGACAAGTGACTGTGCAGTCTCTTCTTAAAAACTTCCAATGATGAAGCACCCACAACTTCTGGAGGCAAGCTCTCAGGAATAGCCGAGAGCAACTGGGTAATTTCCTGGCTTTGTGTAATTGTGTGTTTCACAGCTGCAGTGTGATCCTGGTCAAGATGGGTTTGATTGTAGGGTTCTCTGCAGGGATTATGCCTCTACCTCCTTGTGCTCTAAATCTGGATTTCCCTTCTGACTGTGTTATTAAACTGCACAGTTTAATAAAACGGTCCTTTGTGGACATTTTCCAGATCACGAGTGCTCCTTCGCAAGACAAATCTCACGGGTTTGCAAACCCAGTGGCCTGTATTGCAATAACTTGCAAAGCAGAAGTTCTTTCTTTTTCCAACCAGGTGTAAAAAAAGAAACGGGAAGGGACCAGAGGTTGGCTTTGGAAACACAGCCAAATGGAGATTTGACTACGGAGTTCAGTTTGGAAATAGGTTCCCTATGGAGGGAAAAAAAAAAAAACTTTCCTATAAAGTTGTGTCTGCAGTAGGACTGAGTTCACACATTGAACCCGTTGCACAATAAGTCATTGTTGGCTGAGTTCACGCACGGCTGCGCTCGGCTATTAGTTGTGTGTCCCAAAGTTGACTCACAAACCAGAGTAAGCAAACAAGCTCCGTGTGTAAACAAAACACAGCAATACGGTCAAAGTCAAATTCAAATAATTCAGAATGCTTCATTATGCACAGCAGGCTTTATGTTGGAGTCAGTGTTGCTTGGCAGGGAATGCTGAGAGGAAGGCTTCTGTCTAAAGTGGTGTATCTCAACCTTGACAGAGAGAAAATGGGTGGACTTCAGCTTGAATGATGATTTCCCAGCCGGGGAATTCTAGGAGTTGAAGTCCACCCCTCTTCAAGCTGCCCAGGTTGAAAGACAATCTCTACAAGGATTTTGAGTGCCAAATTTACTGAAACTTGTGCCAAACTTTAGAAGGTGAGGATTCTGAGAAAGGGTCTACACTTCAATAGAATAGAATTCTTTATTGGCCAAGTGTGATTGGACACACAAGGAATTTGTCTTTGGTGCATAGGATCTCAGTGTACATAAAAAGAAAAGAGACATTCGTCAAGAATCATAAGGGACAACACTTAACGATAGTCATAAGGTACAAATCAAATCATACTAGGAAACAAAATCAATATAAATCGTAAGGATACAAGCAACAGTCATGAGTGGGAGGAGATGGGTGATGGGAACGATGAGAAGATGAGAAGATTAATAGTAGTGCAGACTTAGTGAATAGTTTGACAGTGTTGAGGGAATTATTTGTTTAGCAGAGTGATGGCGTTCGGGAAAAAACTGTTCTTGTGTCCTTCGGATGGTTTTGCTGATTAACTACCACAATAAAGTTATTTAGAATCGAATCGAATAATCAATGGAATAGGAATGGAATGGGAATGGGAATGGGAATGGAATGGAATGGCATAGCATAGCATAGCATAGCATAGCATAGCTTTATTGTCACTTTGAATGTATATTAATTGGCATACATTAAAAATGAAATTTCATTGCATACAGCTTTTAAAGGGTCACCACCTCCAATTTTACACTACATAAACATGACAAGATAAATAAATAAAATACAAAAGTATATAGGCGAAACAACACAGTCTAGTTTGGATATATACATGTTTATGGGGAGAAAAACGAATCTTGCGAGTTTACCAGATGGATGGCCTAGGGAAGAAAGCTGTTACAGAATCTTGTAGTCCTGCTAGAAATACTTTGAAACCTCATCCCAGAGGGGAGCAACAGAAACAGACCGTAAAGTGGGTGTCTGGGGGTCTCTAACCATGCTTTGAGCTCTAAGCACATAGTGCTTCTAAGCCGCATCCTAAATGAAGGGAAACAAGCTTCTTATAATCTTCTCAGCTGTCCTCACTACTCTCTGTATGGACTTTCTATCTGAGGCACTGATGCCACCAAACCAAACAGGGATGCAAGTTTGTTAAAACACTAGTTGAATTTGACTTCATTGTTCATTGTATAATTTTGACTTGAACGTTATTATTATTTAAACCCCAGGGTGTCCACTGGGTGGTTGGAGAAGGTCAGGATGGCCGTGCCTCTCTGAAACCTCACCTTCTTTTACCTCTTATTACAACACCCCCGGGAAAAGGGGAGGGTTTCCCAGCTTCCCTTCTTTTTAACACCCATCTCCCAAATCTGCATTTAGACCAGTGAAATCCAGCAGGTTCTGACAAGTTCTGGAGAACCGCTAGCGGAAATTTTGAGCAGTTCGGAGAACCGGTAGCGGAAATTTTGAGTAGTTTGGAAAACCGGCAAATACCACCTCTGGCTGGCCCCAGAGTGGGGTGGGAATGGAGATTTTGCAATATCCTTTCTCCTGGAGTGGGGAGGGAATGGGGATTTCGCAGTATCCTTCCTCTGGAGTGGGGAGGGAATGGGGATTTTGCAATATCTTTTCCCCAGGAGTGGGGAGGGAATGGGGATTTTGCAGTATCCTTCCTCTGGAGTCGAGTGGGAATGGAGATTTTGCAATATCTTTCCCCTGGAGTGGGGAGGGAATGAGGATTTTGCAGTATCCTTCCCCTGGAGTGGGGAGGGAATGGGAATTTTGCAGTATCTTTCCCCTGCCACGCCCACCAAGCCACACCACGCCCACCAAGCCACGCCCAGTAGTAAAAAAAATTTGGATTTCACCACTGATTTAAACATTCAGCACAAACTGGGTTATTAACATGAAGGATTTGCGCAAGAGATGTGAGCTTTCAAGAGAACCTCTTTGTCCTAGGAGAAGCAGTACCAATACCTGCAGCAAACCCAGTCTGACCAATGCCAAGTCAGCCAGCCAGTGGAACGAGTCCAAGTGGTTCAGCAATGCCAACATACAACCAATGCCTGTGACTCTACTCCCGTCCGTGCCAATGATGTGGGACAGAACAGCTTTAATAAAGTTATCATACAGACATGTGAACCGGTAAGCATTTAACTTATCCATACGTGTTCAGCAACTTTGGCCACTTTAAGACGGGTGGACTTCAACTCCCAGAATGCCCCAGCCAGCCAGGTTGGCTGGGGTATTCTGGGAGTTGAAGTCCACAAGCCTTAAAGGGGCCAAGGTTGATAAACACTGTTTTAATAGAATCGAATACAATTCTTTTTTTAAAAAAATATTTTTTATTGATTTTACAACAACACAACACAACATATAAAACATCGACACACCATATGTGTGTCTTTTTACATATCAGTTTCGTTCCTCTTACTTTCTACTTTCTACATTCCCCATTTTTCTCATTCTTTATTTTTATTTTTTTATTTTTTTAATTTGATTTATATGCCGCCCTTCTCCGGAGACTCAGGGCGGCTTACAATGCGCTAAGCAATAGCCTTCATCCTTTTGTATATTTATACAAAGTCAGCTTATTGCCCCCACAAACTGGGTCCTCAATTTACCTACCTTAGAAAGGATGGAAGGCTGAGTCAACCTTGAGCCTGGTGAGATTCGAACCTGCAGTAATTGCAGGCAGCCGGTCTTAATAACAGGGTGCTTTAGACCACTGTACTACCAAGGCTCCTTGTCTTTATCGTCTCTTTATTTCTAGTTTTATTCATTTACAATATTTTACACATTTATCACATCCTTAATTCCCTTTTGCCTTCCCTAGTCTTTAGCCAATCATACCACTTATCCCATACTAGATAATATTCTGTATCTTCTTTTTCTTTTATTTCTTTCGTTAATTTATCCATCTCCGCACAGTCCAGAATTTTCCTAATTGTTTCTTCCTCTGTTGGAGTTTTTTTTCACTTTTCCAGGACTGTGCGTAGACTATCCTTGCCGCTGTAATTATATGCAAAATCAAATATCTAATTTCTTTACTGTAGGTTCTATTCAGTACAATTCTTTATTGGCCAAGTGTGATTGGACACACAAGGAATTTATCTTTGGTGTATATGCTCTCAGGGTACATAAGGAGAATAAAATACATTCATCAAGAATAAAAAGATACAACACTTAGTGATAGTCAAGGTTACTAATAAACTATCAAATTGTGCTAGGAAACAAGTAAAAACAATATAATGGAAAGATACAAATAAAAACAATATAATTGAAAGATACCTGCAACACGGTTATAGTTAAGTATATATAACTATATATTATTATTATTATTATTATTATTATTATTATTATTATTATTATTATTATTTATTTATTTATTCAATTTATATACCGCCCTTCTCCTATTGGACTAATATATAGTATATACTATAACCTAATATATAAGGTTATAGTAATAAGCGGGAAGAGATAGCTACTAGTAAGGAAGAGAAGAATAATAGTAATACAGTCTTAGTAAATTAGTTGTTAAGCAGAGTGACGGCATTCGTGGAAAAACTGCCCTTGTGTCTAGGTGTTCTGTGGTTGTTTTCTCCTTTAAAAGGGACTCCATTGTCTAGTCCCATGCATGGAAGAGTCCTCTTAGTTGTGTAAAGAGTCATTCTTTGCAGATCAAGTGGCTGTCAGGTTACAGCACCATCCGATCACATCTCATTTCTGAACCATTTTGCTCAAGTTGCAAGAATGGCCAACACCCAGCCTGGGGTGGGGTGGGGTTGGGTAGGATGGGGGAAGGATGCTATTATTGTTCTCAGTTTCTGCAACTGAATTTATCAGGGAGTTAAAATCAGAAAAGTGTGCCGCTGTTTGCCTCTAGCAAGAGGCAGGCGAATTTGCAGAAGCCTCCTCCGCAAGACGATTCATAACGCAGGTTAGCCACAAGTTATGAAACAAAATAAATGTAGGTGGAGTGCTTGGGAACAAAAAGGAGGAGGTTGAATTCTAATTAGGCAAACAGCAGCTTCGTCTCCTTTGAGAGGCTGAAGACGCATCGTGGGAAAACCAAGAAAAAACTGAGGGTTTTTTTTTTCTCCCCAAACCCTCCTCCTCCTTTAAAAGAGTGAAGAACAAAACTAAGAGAAAAGTAGAAGAAGATATAAATTGTCTTCTTTAACTGCAGCAGTAAGGTTTTTAACTATATTATGCTGTGAACATACCAGACAAGCCTTCCCCCACCCCCAAAGCACTTGAAAGTGTTTGCATTTTCTTTTTATACTTTTTTTGTTTTGTTTTTTTCCCCCTGAAGTTTAAACTGCTTTATTGAAAAGTTGGGCTTGTTCTGCACTGTAAGCCATTAATCACGGTTTGAGGGGTCCTTGGTGCTCTCTGAGTTTGCTTGTTTTCTTGCAGAGGTTTCATTACCCAAACTGGGTATAATCCAGGGGTGAAATCCAGCAGGTTCTGACAGATTCTGGAGAACCGGTAGCGGAAATTTTGAGCAGATCAGAGAACTGGTAGTGGATTTTAAGTAGTTTGGAGAACCGGCAAATACCATCTCTGGCTGGCCCCAGAGTGGGGTGGGAATGGAGATTTTGCAATATCCTTCCCCAGGAGTGGGGAGGGAATGGGGATTTTGCAGTATCCTTCCCCTGGAGTGGGGTGGGAATGGAGATTTTGCAGTATCTTCCTCTGCCACGCCCACCAAACCACACCCACAGAACTGGTAGTAAAAAAAATTGGATTTCACCACTGGTATAACCTCATCAATGCTCTGCCTCATCACTGCTGTCAGCACTCATGATGTTACCTAGTTGGGTAATGAAATTATTGCAAGAAAACAAGCAAGCTCAGAGAGCATCAAGGACCCCTCATGTCAGCCCTGAGCTACAAATATTCTCCTATATTAGTAATAGCAATAGCACTTAAACTTATATACTGCTTTACAGTACTTTACAGCCCTCTCATAAGCAGTTTACAGAGTCAACTTATTGCCCCCAACAATCTTGGTCTTCATTTTACCCACCTCGGAAGGGTGGAAGGCTGAGTCAACCTTGAGCCAATCAGGATCGAACTCCTGGCAGTGGGCAGAATTATCCTGCAATCCTGAATTCTAACTACACGGAAGGAAAGGAAAGGAGGGAGGAAGGGCAATAGCACTTAGACTTATATACCGCTTTACAGTGCTTTACAGCTCTCTCCAAGCGGTTTACAGAATCAGGCTCTTGCCCCCAACAATCTGGGTCCTCATTTTACCCACCTCAGAAGGATGGAAGGCTGAGTCAACCTTGAGCCTGGTGAGATTCGAACTGCCAAATTGCAGGCAGCTGGCAGTCAGCAGAAGTAGCCTGTAGTACCGCACTCTAACCACTGCGCCACCACAGCTCATAATCATGGTTTATCTATCCCACTGACTGCCTTTGTACCATATATTGACTCCAAAGCAGGCAAACCAAGTTGCGAAGGAAGGCCAATATACATGTCCCAGCATAATGTTGCAGGATCCAACCTGAGTCAGTCACTGGGACATCCTTCCGAGCTTTCAGACGCATGCCGGAGCCCATCCTCAGGGAACCTGTCTCTCTTGACACGTTCTGGCGAAAGAGAAATTCCATGAGATGGGCTCCGGCACGAGTCCAAAAACTCGGAAGATGTGACCGACCCAGATTTGGATCCTGCAAACCAAGTTCCATCTTGGGTTGTTGGTGGCGAGAAGAAATTCCCCAACATGGAACTTGCTTTGCAGAAATCCCCCGCTGCAGGACATTCTTGCATTTTATTGATGCCTCGCGTAGAAAACAAGGGCATTGAAGAAATCATGAATCAAGCGAGAGATATTTGACAGGCACCCAAGAGGAGATTGAGTGCAGAAAGTAGGTTGGTGCAGTGTGCAATCAAGAATGAGAGGAGAGCTTTAAAACAGCCATTTGCATGCCGAGGGTCGAACATTGCTTTACGACCAGGGAATTAGAATGGTTCTAATGATGTCCTTTATGACCTCCTAACAGGTGAAGCGCATCCAGGAAACAAATGACCAGCTGGACTGCCGATACTTTGGGGAGCTCCTAGCAGAACTGCACCGCAAGAGCAACGACCTGTACAGCTGTTTGCTCCAGCATGTTGAGAAGCTGGGCGGAAGGTAGAGGCCGGGCCTCATCCTAGCTTGGAATTTGGAGAATGTTTGGCAGCCCTTCTTGGAAAGGAAGCCCAGCTGCTTGCCTGAACAGCAGGCAGGCTGTGGGTCTGTTGGTTTGCAGCCATCCTGAGAAATGGGGGAGGACTAAGGTTTCCTGAACCCTGTTCAAAAAAAAAATCTCTCACCTTAAACATCCTTGCTCGTTTCTGTGAATAGACACATAATCCCAGTCCTCGTATTATGGGTGAGCGTTGTTGCAACATTCTGAGTTTTTAGTTACAGATGGTTCTCAGTTAATAGCAATAACAATTGCCCTTAGACTTATATACCGCTTTATCGTGCTTTACAGCCCTCTCTAAACAATTTACAGAATCCGCATTTTGCCCCCAACAATCTGGATCTTTATTTTACCCACCTCGGAAGGATGAAAAGCTGAGTCAACCTTGAACCTGTCATGATCGAACTCCATACAAAATTGTAAAATTAACCTGCAATACTGCATTCTAATCACTGGGCCACCAAGCTCCTAATAGCGCTAGCAATAGCACTTAGACGTATATACCGCTTTACACCCCTCTCTAAGTGGTTTACAGAGTCAGCCTCTTGCCCCCAACAATCTGAGTCCTCATTTTACCCACCTTGGAAGGATGGAAGGCTGAGTCAACCTTGAGCCTGGTGAGATTCGAACTGCCAAAGTGCAGGCTGCACTGCCTGCACTCTAACCACTGCACCTCCATAATTTTTTTTAAAAAAATTGATTTATATGCCGCCCTTCTCCGGAGACTCGGGGTGGCTTACAATGCATTAAGCAATAGCCTTCATCCTTTTGTATATTTATACAAAGTCAGCTTATTGCCCCCACAGTCCGGGTCCTCATTTTACCTACCTTAGAAAAAATGGAAGGCTGAGTCAACCTTGAGCCTGGTGAGATTTGAACTTGCAGTAATTGCAGGCAGCTGATGTTAATAACAGTGCTTTAGTCTGCTGCGCCACCAGGGCTCTAATACCGGATGTTTTGTCGCTAGGTGATGTGGTTGCAAAGGGCAGTCTCCAGTTACCGTTATGAAATGAGGACCTTGCATGATGATTTCCCGCTGGCTTCCCCATTGATTGTGTGGGAAACTGGCAGGGAAGGTTGCAAATGGTGATCATGGGATATTACAGTGGCAGAAATCTGGTCTGGTGTCTAATAGCAATAGCACTTAGACTTATATACCGCTTCACAATGCTTATACAGCCCTCTCTAAGCGGTTTATTGCCCCCAACAATCTGGGTCTTCATTTTATTGACCTCGGAAGGATGGAAGGCTGAGTCAATCATGAGTCGTCGAGAATTGAACTGCTGGCAGTGGGCAGAATCAGCCTGCTATACTGCATTCTAACCACTGCACTACCACTGCTAAGCACTCTGAATGCAATCGCATGACCAGCTGGAACTTCAGGGACTGGTTGCAAATACCACCTGTTTAGCACTATTGCAAGTTAGAATGGTCGCTGAACAAGTGTCATTAAACAAGGACCACCCGTCTATAATTGCTATATATTGATTCCCCAAACCTACTGAGCCATAACTCGGTCATAGTTTGCTCGATAAATCGCAGTTGCCTGGGTTTGTGCAGTGTACTTAGCCATAAAAAAGAAGAGCCATCATCGTTCCAATCCTTGAGTGCCACCAGTTGGACTGCATTACAGGGAGGTGCATATTTTAACAAATGAACAAAATTGGAAGGGACCTTGTAGGTCATCTAGTCCAACCCCCCACCCAAGCAGGAAACCCTACACCATTTCTGACAAATGGCAGTCCGGTCTCTTCTTGAAAACTTCAAGCTTCATTGGATGAGTGTATTGTGTCTAAATATTTACATGTTATATTCCAGAGGCAGTTATACTTTTATTAAAGGTAACTTGGGATATAGTTTCCTCAATTAAGTCAGAATGAAAGACTTACCATAACAGTGGTGGCGATAATTGTAATGTACTCAGTGGGTAGAGAAAGGACAACGCTAATGTTTCCTTGTGTTTCTCTTACAGAAGATGCGATCTGGAATCTCTGAATGATGTAAGTACCAAACAGTTTCCAGAACTTATAGAAATATCTGGGCTTTGTGCATTCATGAGCAAACAACGACTAACTGTCTTTAAGTCTGGTTAAAATCCCAAAAATGAGAATAAAAGGCTGGTCTTAACCTGCCTGAATGGAAATCATGCTGATCTGTACATATAGTAGAGATTATCTTTTTTCTTGAAATAGAATAGAATAGAACAGAACAGAACAGAACAGGGAATGGAGTGGAGTGGAGTGGAGTGGAGTGGAGTAGAATAGGGAAGGGAAGGGAAGGGAAGGGAAAATAGAATAGAGAATAGAGAATGGAATGGAATAGAGAATGGAATGGAACAGAACAGAACAGAACAGAACAGAGAATGGAACAGAACGGAACTGGGAGAAGGAGAAGAGAGAAGAGAAGAGAAGAGAAGAGAAGAGAGAAGAGAAGAGACTTACTCTAGTCTACTCTACTCTTTATTGGCCAAGTGTGATTGGACACACAAAGAAATTTGTCTCTGGTGCATAAGCTCTCAGTGTACATACAAACAACAAAGTAATGTAATCATAAGATACCAATAGGAGAAGGAAGTAGAAAAGATGAGAAGGATAATAGTTTACAGCCCTCCTGCATGGGAAATAGACAAAAACAGTTGTAGTTGTTTTTTTCTGGAGTCCTAACTATCCATTGGACGCAGTGGCTCAGTGGCTAAGATGCTGAGCTTGTCGATCGAAAGTTCGGCAGTTCAGCGGTTCGAATCCCTAGTGCCGCGTAACCGGGTGAGCTCCCGTTACTTGTCCCAGCTTCTGCCAACCTAGCAGTTCGAAAGCACGTAAAAAATGCAAGTAGAAAAATAGGGACCACCTTTGGTGGGAAGGGAACAGCGTTCTGTGCGCCTTTGGCGTTTAGTCATGCCGGCCACATGACCACGGAGTTGTCTCCAGACAACTCTTTGGCTTTGAAATGGCTCTTTGGCTTTGAAATGGAGATGAGCACTGCCCCCTAGAGTCGGGAACGACTAGAACATATGTGCGAGGGAAACCTTTACCTTAAGTAGAGGAGCAGGTACGAAAGTATCTCTCTGCAAATTTTTTTTTTATTTATTTATTTTAAATTTATATACCGCCCTTCTCCCTGAGGACTCAGGGCGGTGTACAGCCAGAATTAAAAAACATAAAATACAAATATTAAAAAACAATTAATATATATATAAATTTGGCCCAAAATTAAAAATACAAACCAATTAAAACATTTAAAATTTCTTCTTAAGCCAGCCCGGTTTGCTGGAAAAAGTGGGTTTTAAGGGCACGGCGGAAGGCTGTGAAATCCTGAAAGCAGCTGGTATTTTTTCTACATTGGATAGGTGCTGCTTCAAAAGGGGCTTTTGGCTGACTTTTGGGGGTCTATGACAATTCCCCCATGGCCAGCTTGCCATGGCCAACTTGTCATGGTCAACTCAACTGCAGGACAATTCGCTACAGCCAGCTCATCGCGAGACAGTTTGCTGCAGGACGAGAGTTACACTAATATCAAAGCAATGGTGGAATAGAATCATCAAGGAAAGGAGGATGAAGACAGGATGAGATGTGAATGGCAAGCTGATAATATGCCTTTTATTTCTTGGGTTTTTTTTTTTTCCCAATAGGCAGAGGATATTGAGAGCTTGATTCCTAAAGGGCTTTCGGAGTCAACAAAACAGCAGATCCGTTACCTTCTGGAGGTAAGGGGGTTGCGGAGAAATTTGTGGAAATCGATGGAAATTGTGTTTAATTTCATGTAGTGAAGCCCTTTTTGCCCAGACCGCTACACACTACACACACGGTATTGATGGCATTTTGCATATTTACTTACTGTCCTCCTGTAGGATGGATACCATGTTGATGAATAAACAACTATATGTAAGCCTAAGAATGACACAGAAGAATCGAGCCAGAGTTCAGTTCTTTATTTGCTTACACACAACAGACAGAATCTTGCCAGAGTAAACCTTTACTGCTGTCACAGCAGTTGGATATTCCCTGGGAGCTTCATCACTGGAAGCTTTTCAAGAAGCTGTTAGAAATAAAGTAGGGTCTCCTGCTTGGGTGGGGTGGAGGGTTGGACTAGATGACCTCTAAGGTCCCTTCCAACTCTGTTAATCGCTGACGTTTTGCTTCTCACTGCTTTTCTCCCCTAGATATAGGAATCATTATCCCATCCTCGGCCTCCTGTCAGATTACTACAAAGCTATGTCATCCACTGTTGATTTGGTATTAAAACCTTCTGCTCTGAAACCATCCTAAACAATCTGTTTTGCTGTCCATCTTTCCTAGATGAGAGCCACAGCTGATAAGTCCATGAGGCTGGTCCTTACCACCTTCAGTAACCTTCGAGAGGAGCTGGTCCACCTTCAGGATGACTTAGGGGTACGTAGTTCTGTTGTTTGGAATGTGTCGAAGTGCGTTTGAACCAGGGGTGAAATCCAGCAGGTTCTGACAGGTTCTGGAGAACCGGTAGTGGAAATTTTGACCAGTTCGGAGAACCGGCAAATACCACCTCTGGCTGGCCCCAGAGTGGGGTGGGAATGGAGATTTTGCAATATCCTTTCCCCTGGAGTGGGGAGGGAATGGGGATTTTGCAGTATCCTTTCCCCTGGAGTGGGAGGGAATGGGGATTTTGCAATATCCTTTCCCCTGGAGTGGGGAGGGAATGGGGATTTTGCAGCATCCTTCCTCTGGAGTGGGGAGGGAATGGGGATTTTGAAATATCCTTTCCCCTGGAGTGGGGTGGGAATGGGGATTTTGCAGTATCCTTCCTCTGGAGTGGGTGGGAATGGGGATTTTGCAGTATCCTTCTCCTGGAGTGGGGTGGGAATGGAGATTTTGCAGTATCTTTCCCTTGGAGTGAGGTGTGAATGGAGATTTTGCAATATCCTTTCCCCTGGAGTGGGGTGAGAATGGAAATTTTGCAGTATCCTTCCACTGCCTCGCCCACCAAGCCACACCACGCCCACCAAGTCACGCCCACAGAACCGGTAGTAAAAAAAATTGGATTTCATCACTGGTTTGAACTTCAGCCTTCCCTGAACTGGTGTCTCCCAGATGTGTTGGGACCTGCTGTTTGGAATTTACATTCCAAACACATCTGGGGGAGGCCAGGAGAGGGAAAGCTGCATCCAGATGGCACTTGTGATCTAGAGCCAGGATTCCTAAAGCAATTTCAGGTTTTCAAGATGCTCTTCTTTCAGTGCCTGTTTTTGAGAGTTCCCTGGATTTTGTGTGACATGCCTCCGAATTCTGGGTAGAAATAGCTGATCCTTTCTTGGATGGCGGAAATCAAAGCTGTGTCAGTCAATATTTCTCAAAGATTGTAAGGCAATCTTGCAGTTACTTTTCTCTCAGGACAAATGGAAGAATCTTTTGAGACCAGAGCATGGATAATAGGTGATTTAGTAAGTTATGAGCCGTTATGAACTTGGGACGTTTTTAATCAGAGATATTTTGCATTGTTTGTTAGTTGCATTGGAAACTCTGATTGATCCCTTTGTTCATTTCCCCCGTGCTTGTTTTTCAACAGCTGATTGTTGGAAATCTATGAAATTCTGCCTCTCTTCAGAGGTACAAAGGCAGGCTTGGGTGTCAGTGTGTCACAAAAGAAAAAGGGCATATGTTATGACTGACTTTATGGTTCAGCCATAAACTCGGCCTTTGGAGATCCAAGCATTACTTTTTTTCTGGATCACAAATGGAAAGAAGGAAAGGAAGGAAGGAAGGAAGGCAGGCAGGAAAGGAAGGAAGAAGGAAAGAAAGAAGGAAAGAAAGAAGGAAGGAAAGGAAGGAAGGAAGGAGAGGCAGAGAGAGGAAGGAAGAAAAGGAAAGAGGAAGGAAGGGAAGAGAGGGAGGAAGGAAAGGAAAGAAGGAAGGAAAGGGGAAGGAAGGAAGGAGAGGCAGAAGAGAAGAAGGAAGGAAAGAAAGAAAGGAAAGAGGAAGGGAGGAAGGAAGGAAAGGAAGGAAGAAGGAAAGAAAGAGGAAGGAAGGAAGGGAGGAGAGAGGCAGAGAGAGGAAGGAAAGGAAGGAAGGAAGAAAGGAAAGAGGAAGGGAGGGAAGAAGGGAGGGAGGAAGGAAAGGAAGAAGGACGGAAAGGAAAGAAGGAAGGAAAGGGGAAGGAAGGAAGGAGTGGCAGAGAGGAAGGAAGGAAAGAAAGGAAAAAGGAAGGGGGGAGGGAGGGAGGAAGGAAGGAAAGAAAAGAGGAAGGAAGGAAAGGGAGGGAGAAAGGAAAGAGGAATGGAGGGAGGAAAGGAAAGAAGGAAGGAAGGAAGGAAGGAAGGAAGGCAGGGAGGTATATAGCATATGTAATATTTTTAGTGCATTTTTTTTTGTAAACCGTGAGGCAAACAGACAGATCTGTTTGCACATAGCAAATAGAGTATTTTTAACAGCCTGTTTTTGGACTTTTACAGAAACTGGAAATGGACAAGATGCTGCTTGAGAAAGACCTGGCTTTCAAAGAAGCTCAAGTAAAAGAATATGAGATGATGTTGGCATCTGTGCGGGAGAATAACCGTCAGCAACAGGTGAGCGAGCTGTTAGTTGTCCACTTCTTCTCTTTCCTTACACCTTTCCCAGCACTCTCTAGAAGCATCCTGTGTCCTAAGTAGGATCGCCTGAATCAGAACATTGGTGCTTCAAGTGAGAACTCTTGAGTTGCCGATAAAATAAACTCAGGGGTTGAAATCAGGGGTCCTTGTTGCTCTCTGAGCTTGGCTGTTTCCTTGTAGACGTTTCATTACCCAACAAGGTAACATCATCAGTGCTAATAAGGAATGGGGTGGAGGGCAACCTAGTTTGGTAATGAAACATCTGCAAGAAAACTGTCAAGCTCAGAGAGCACCAAGGATCCCTCAACTCTGGATTGATTTCTTCAACGATCCATTGGATTTCTTGGTTGTCCTTGGTACGCTCAAGAGTCTTCTCCAACAGCAAAGTTCAAAAGCTTCATTGTTCTTTCAATCTTGCTTATTTAAAGTCCGTGTATGGTAGGATGGTCATTCGGAATTATTCCAAAGTGACCAGCATGTAGGAACCGTGGCCCAATGAAAATTGAGAAAATACAGATATACAAATGTAAATACGTTAAACTAAGCCTTAAGGAATTAACCATGTTTTTTAGACTATAAAATGCACCGGAGTATAAGACGCACCAAGATTTTGAAGACTTAAGAAAAAAAAAAGTTTTTGCCCTCCCCAGGCCCCAGGAGCACTCTGCAGGCCTCCTAAACCCTCTGCGAAAAATGGGCCTGTTTTTCACAAAAATGGGATGCGCAGAGGATTTGGGAGGCCTCCAGAGTGCTCCTGGGGGCCTGGGAGAGCAAAAACGCCCTCATTTTTGTGAAAAACAGGGCTGTTTTTGGCCTCCCAACCCCTCACACATATCACGCTTTTGCCCTCCCCAGGCCCCAGGAGCACTCTGCAGGCCTCCCAAGCCCTCTGTGCATCCTGTTTTTGTGAAAAACGGCCCTGTTTTTCGCAAAAACGGGACGTGCAGGCCGGGGTTTCGGGAGGCCAAAAATGGCTGTATTCGGTGTATAAGACGCACCAACATTTCCACACTCTTTTAGGGGTGAAAAAGTGCTTCTTATACTCCGAAAAATACAGGTAGGTTCTCCCAGCTGGCAAAGTTATCTAAGACTGTTTCTTTTTGGCTGGGGTGGGTTTTTGCAGCAAGCCCTCCGCGAATACACTCTGAAGTGCCGTTCGCTGGAAGAGCAGCTGTTGTCTCTCCGTCACAACGACAGCGACCGGGAATTTCGGCTGAAAGACCTGGAATATAGCAAACGAGCCTTGGAGCAGGAAATCCAGAACTTGAGACTTCAGGTAAGCCAATTCTCCTTTGGACAGTTGATGCTTGGAATTCCAAGGGCTACCCTTGAAAAAAGAGGAGCGTCCCCATTAAAAAAAAGTGGGGGGGCAATGAATGGACACTCCCCTCTGTCCCAAATGGTCTCCTTGAGGGCTGCTTTCTTTTCTTCCCAAGTCATCCTTGGATCCAGAAGCGGCATAGTTACGGGAATTTAGATATGTTGCAGATCAGAGGTTGCGCTGTGAAAAAGCAAGTTGGGAATGGAACATACATGAACATTCGATCTAAGTGCATTTGATTTGAATTGTGATTCAATCAATTGGATCCCCATTGAAAAAAAAATATATAGATTAGCAAAAGATTTTGGACAATGGTTGCTAGTTAACATAAACTTGACTGAGGCAGGGAAGAGAAAGGAGGGAAAGGGAAGAGAGAAAGAAAGAGAAAAAAGGAAAGGAGAAAGAAAGAAAGAAGAAAGGAAAGAAAGAAAGAAAAAGAAAGAGAAAGAAAGAAAGAAGGAAAGGGAAGAGAAAGAAAAAAAGAAAGGAAAATAAATGAAAGAAGGAAAGGAGAGAGGAAGAAAGAAAGAAAGAAAAAGAAAGATGGGAAGAAACAAAAAAGAAAAAGAGGAAAAACAAAGAAAGATGGGAAGGAAGAAAGAAAGAAAAAGAAAGAAAGAAATAAAGATGGGAAGGAAGGAAGAAATGAAGGAAGGAAGGAAGGAAAGAAAAAGAAAGAAAGAAAGAATTCCATAGAATAAATATCTCATTATGTTGAGGTTGCTTTAAAGAACTGTTGGTGGGGTTCTTTTTAATTGCAGAAGCTAAAACATTTTTCCTTTGCTCAGGCTTCCACCAATCCTCTGGGCCAGACCACCACCGATGAACTTTCCAGCCGCTACGTAGAGATGATCAACCAGCTCAGAGAAGATAAAGACCGAGAGATCCGCACTCTGCGGGTAAGTTGGCTTCCTTATCAAAGATGCCTTATTGTTTGACTCTCTTTTAAGTTTTGTAGAGCTGGGCTCTCTACAGATGTTGACACCTTCTTTGGCCTTGTCTGGTCTGGAACTTAGCTGGGTTGAGGTTGTTGAACCACATGGATATCACAGAAATGTAGACTAGCTTAGGGCATTACAATGCATTCCAGAAGAAGGTAGTGGGAAACAAGACCTACACCCGTGATGGTGAACGTATGGCACGCATGCCACAGGTTGTACGCGGAGCCATATCTGTGGGTACACAAGTGTTGCCCTAGCTCAGCTCCAACATGTATGTGTGTGCCAGCCACCTAATTTTCAACACTTCCGGGCCCACCGGAAGTCGGGAAACAGGCTATTTCCAGCCTCCAGAGGGCCTCTAGGAGGGTGGGGAAGGCAGTTTTCACCCTCCCCAGGCTCCTAGAAAGCCTCTGGAGTCTGGGGAGGGTGAAAAACAGGCCTAGCGGGTCCACCGGGCCATCGCTTGCCAAAAGCGTGGGGAGTGTGTGTGTGTGTGTGGGGACTTGTGCGGGGGGCGGGGCACATTGAATTATGGGTGTGGCCACACAGACGCGAAAATCTCCCGTGCTCCCCCCATTTTTGGCACGCGACAGCAAAAAGGTTAGCCGTCACTATCCTCCACTGTTATCAGGAAACTGCATAATGACATCCATCAGGGATCCAACTTCACTCAAAGGCATGGGGATGACATAGTGTTCCAATATCTCAGGGGCTGCCCCAAAGAAGAGGGAGTCAAGCTATTCTCCAAAGCACCTGAGGGCAGGACAAGAAGCAATGGGTGGAAACTCATCAAGGAGAGAAGCAACCTAGAAGAAATTTCCAGACAGTGAGAACAATTAACCAGTGGAACAGCTTGCCTCCAGAAGTTGTGGGTGCTCCATCACTGGAGGTTTTTAAGAAGAGGTTGAAAAACCATTGGTCTGAATTGGTATAGGGCCATGGTGGCGAACCTATGGCATGCGTACCAGAGGTGGCACACAGCCTTCTCTGTGGGCATGTGAGCCGTCACCCCAACTCAGCTCTGCTGTGCATGCACGCAAGCCTCCTGCCGGCCAACTGGTCTTCAGGTCTCTGCCACGCATGCGGGGGGGGAATGTGCATGTGCAGGGAGTGGGACACATGCGAGGGCGCATGCACATGCACGGGGTGCATGCAGAGAACCATGCGTGAATGCTCAGGGTTGGGGGGGCATGCATGGGAGCCGCACGCTCATTGCATCTTGGGGGTATGTGCACGCGCGCATTCATGCGCATGTGCACACACTTTGGACACTCCGTCCGGAAAAGGTTAGCCATCACTGGTATAGGGTTTCTTGCTTGACCTGGGGTTTGGACTAGATGTTGTGGCCCGTCAGCGGCCTGTGCAGATTGTAGCTGATTCGGACAGCGAGGAGGCTGGTGTGGTGCTGCGCCAGCAGCCTGTGCAGTTGGCACTCGAGTCGGACAATGAGGAGGCTGGAGAAGATGTGGTGTCAGAGGCAGGGACTCAGCTAGGGCCTTCAGAACCTCCAGAAGGTCCCTTAAGTGAAGAGGACGAAGAGGAGGAGCCTCTTCTCAATGCATGGGCGCACAGAGCTGCCAAAAGGCAGGAGTGGCTCCTCAGGAGGAGGTCTCCTAGAGAGTAAGGCTTGGGGCTAATTGGCCACTCCCTTAGCCTATTTAAGGAAGGATGATGACTGAGGCAATTTGCAGGGAACAACTTCGTTCATTCTCTTTCGTATCCTGATCTTAGTTCTCTTATCAGTTTCCTGCAAATTGCTTCTGGTCTTTCTGCCAACCATAGTAAGATTACGATTATTTATTCTTTGGATTCTTGTAGGCTGTTAAGAAAGTTAATTAACAGCCTTTGTTTGACAACGACTGATTTAATTTAGTAAACTAAGGTTTATACAGACTTTGTGTGTGCTGCGTTCTTTGGGGTCCGTAGCTGGGGCAGAACACTAAACAACTTCCAAGGTCCCTTCTAACTCTATTATTCTCTTATATTTAAATACGGCAGAGCACTTGTTGATATGAACGCTTGTTGATATGAGCTTTGTTGTTTCTGTAGTGCTCGTTGTCTGAATTCCAGAAGGATTTCTCAAGGAAGCAAGGGAGCGACGCTGACCTTCAGATGAGGCTGCAAGATTTGATCCTCAAGCTGGAAGAGAGGGAGGCTTGCATCAAGCGACAGGAGGAGGTGAGTAGTACTACAGAGAGGGTTGGAGCAGATTCTTGGCTAGATCCCTAATCAAGGAACCCTTAAGGAGGAAATCACACCCCAACTGAGACTAGCAAGGCAAGCTACTGTATGTAAAAGCCAACAAAGCGTCACTCACCCTTACACTGATTATGTCACCCAGCTTGGTAATGAAACGTCTACAAGGAAAACAAGATCAGGAAAAACACCAAAAACTTGACTCTCAATCTCACTTTTCTCCTGAGATGGTGTCCATCAGTAGAATTTCATCCTTGTCACTCTTTAATTTACGTCTCCTTTCCTTAGGGACCCATTTTCAGCAAACTTAATCACTATTAGGAAGATTCTGAATGGCCAAAGGAACCGCAGGGTATAAATCAGATGTGAAATGCTCCCGGTTCGGACCGGATCGCCCGATCTGGTAGCGATGGAGGCGGGTGGTTCGAAGAACCGGTAGCAAAAATCCCTGCCCCCTGCAATGCCCAGCTGAGCCGCACAATCATCAGAGGCTTTTTTTTTTACTTTTAAAAGCATTTTTTCTACAACCTCTTCGACCGAAAAAATGCTTTTAAAAGTTAAAAAAAAAAAGCCTCTGATGATCGAGCGGCTCATCTGGGATCGTCAGAAACACTGGTATGAAGTGTTGAATAGTCTATATGGGACGATGTCTTTTTGCCTGAAATGTTGTTTTTTTTAAAAAAAATCTTTTAGGAAATCTTCAGATTGAGACAAGAAAAAATAGCCGTCAACCCATCGCAAGGAATCACAAAGACCATCATCACAAAAAAGTAATGCCATTGGAAGCAACTGGTTGTTTCTGTTTCTGAAAAGGTGTTATTTATTTTTTGGGTACCAATCTTTCCGCCCCGATCAGCATCCCCAAAAGCCAGCAGACTTAAAAACAAATACAAACTTGACACTAGGCCATAACAAAATAGCAAAAGCTAAAACTTATTGAAAAAAAATGCTCTTACTGAGAATAAAGTATACAGAATGTAATTACTTCCCCTCTGGCAGGGTTTAATTTAGCTAAGAGTCACAATTACATTTCAAAGGAAAGGTTGAAATAGAAAAGGTTTCACCGCTTTTATCACAGTTAAATTTAAATTTACTAACGTTAAATTTGGACTCCCAATCAGCTGGAGAAAACCAAAATTATAAAAGGAAATATATAAAAAAAAATCAAAAGGAAAAAAAATTAGAAATGGTGCAGGAATGTTTATGCCATATGTATCCTTCCATTTCTTCTAAATGTAGATAAATAAAATTATTGTTTCATCAGATATAACTCAACTGGAACAGTTGGATTTTTTAAAAATAGGGTTGGGTGAAATCCGTGCACAAACTTTGTCTACGTGTGTGTGTGTGTTTGACTCAGTCTTTGACTAATCGCTGCCGTTTTTTTTATAAGATTTTGGAAATGGTTTACTATTGCCTGCTTCCTAGGGCTGAGAGAGAATGACTGGCTCAAAGTCACCCAGGCTTTGTGCCTAAGGTGGGACTAGAACTCACGGTCTCCCAGTTTCTAGCCTGATGCCCACACCGCTAACCCTAGCTGGCTTTCAATCTAGTTGTGGCAATTGTTGCAATAGACAGATTATAGTCCGGCTTTGAAGAATGAGAATAGGAATAGGAATAGAAATAAAAGAAAGAGAAATAATAGAAATAGAAATAATAGAAATAAAAATAATAGAAATAGAAATAGACCAGATCTTGGGAGTCTTCTAGTCCAGCCTTCTACTCAAGCAGGAGACCCTATACCAGTGATGGCTAACTTTTTTGCCATCGTATGCCAGGAGCGGGGTGGGTGGGTGTCGCGCGCAGGTGTGCCCACACCCGTAATTTTCTGCACCCTGCCCTCGCGCAGGTGCATGCGACCCCCTCCGCTCCCCCCGCTCCTGGCACGCGATGGCCCAGAGGCCCGTTTTTCTCTCTCCCCAGCCTCCAGAGCCTTACTAGGAGTCTGGGGAGGGCGAAAATGACCGGAAGTTGGCAAACAGGCCATTTCTGGCCTCCGGAGGTGAGGGGGCGTTTTCCCCCTCCCAAGACTCCTAGAAAGACTCCAGAGGCTGGAGACAGCAAAAAATGGGACTTCCGGTCCCACCGGAAGTTGGCAAATGGGCTGTTTCTGGCCTCCGGAGGGCTTCTGGGGGTGGTAGTGGTGGGGAAGGCTGTTTTCGCCCTCCCCAGACTCCTAGAAAGGCTCCTATTTCTGGTGGGCCTAGTAGGCCTGAAAATCAGCTGAGCTCGCATGCCCACCGATATGGCTACGTGTGCCACAGGTTCGCCATCACAACCCTAGACCATTTCAGACAAAGTCTCTTCTTAAAAACCTCCAGTGATGGAGCGCTCACGATTTCTGGAGGCAAGCTGTTCCACTGGCTAATTGTCCTCACTGTTAGGAAGTTTCTCCTTAATTCCAGGTTGCTTCTCTCCTTGATTAGTTTCCAACCATTGTTTCTTGTCTTGCCTTCTGGTGCTTTGGAAAATAATTTGACCCCCTCCTCTTTGTGAAAGCCCCTCAAATATTGGAATACCGATATCCTGTCACCCGTAATTCTTCTTTTCTTTAGACTAGCCAAGCCCAGATCCTGCAGCCATTCTTCATATGTTTTAGTCTCCAGATCTTTGATCATCTTAGTTTTGCTTCTTACTCTGCCATCTAAGATCTACTTGAGACTCTAGAAAGAGTGCAGAGAAGAGCAAGCAAGATGATTAGGGGACTGGAAGCTAAAACATATGATGAACGGTTGCAGGAACTGGGCATGGCTAGTCTAGTGAAGAGAAGGACAAGGGGAGACAGGATAGCAGTCTTCCAATATTTGAGGGGCTGCCCCAGAGAGGAGGGGGTCAAGCTATTCTCCAGAGCACCTGAAGGCCAGACAAGGAATAATGGATGGAAACTGAACAAGGAGAGATTTGACATGGAAATAAGGAGAAATTTTCTGACAGTGAGAGCCATCAACCCATGGAACAGAAGTTGCTGTCAAGTTTCAAGGTCGTCTCAAATAAATTGCATTTCAAACAAAGTCTTTGAAGAAAAACTCCTATTTATTAAGCACGGCATTCTAAACCCGACTACAATCGAAGCCAATACTGACTTCCAGCCCCCAAACCCTCCCTTTCCGTTCCCCACTCCCCTGCACTCATTGGCCATCTTCCAAGTCATTCTACCCCTAATCTACTCCAGCTCAAAAGAATTTCCCCCCCTCCCATCCCATCTCCTAGGGGATATTATCTCCAGGGAAAATAAGTAGGTGAAAAGTCAAACATCCCTTTCCAGACCCCTTCGCTTCTCCTTATGTCAGCACTAGAGTAAATGCAGGTTGAAGTGCTGACAGTTGCCTTCAGAAGTTGTGGGAGTTTCATCACTGGAAGCTTTTCAAGAAGAGACTGGACTGCTAGCTGTCAGAAATGGTGTAGAGTCTCCTGCTTGGGCGGGGGGTTGGACTAGATGACCTACAAAGTCCCTTCCAACTCTGTTAATCGGTTAATAATTGTTGACGTTTTGCTTTTCTCCAAAGATACAGGAATCATTATCCCATCCTGGGCCTCCTGTCCGATGACTACAAAACTACATCATCCCCTCTTGGGGAAACCCAGACGATCGTGATTGAAAAAACCGGAGAAACCTGGCAGAAGGTAAGCTCCCCTGACAGAAGGTCTCCCGCATCCTGTTAGAGGTGGAGGAGCTTCAGGATCTGAGCCCTAGGATTTGAAAAGAGGGGAGGTCGTGGCAGGACAGTAACCAAACTCAAAACTACAGGTAGCCTTCGACTTTACTACCGTTCGTTTAGAAACCATTCGGGGTTACAACGATACTGAAGAAAGGCATTTAGGGCTGGTCCTTGCAGATACGACCGTCGCAGCATCCTCCACGATCACATGATAAAAATTCAGGCTCTTGGCAAATGGCATTTATTTGCAATGGTTGCAGCATCCCAGGGCAGTGGTGAAATCCAATTTTTTTTTTACTACCGGTTCTGTGGGCGTGGCTTGGTGGGTGTGGTGTGGCTTGGTGAGCATGGCAGGGGAAGGATACTGCAAAATCTCCATTCCCACCCCAGTCTTGGGCCAGCCAGAGGTGGTATTTGCCAGTTCTCCAAACTACTCAAAACTTCCGCTACCGGTTCTCCAGAACCTGTCAGAACCTGCTGGATTTCACCCCTGTCCCAGGGTCATGTGGCCGCCATTTGCGACCGTCCCAGCTGGCGTCCTACGAGAGAGTCAATTGGGGGGGCCCCGGAAATCTGGATTCACTTAATGACCACACGATGGCAAAAAGGTTAGCCACCATTGCCCTAAGGCAAGGGCGGAAAAGCATTATTACAGGTTGGTCAGAAAACCTCCAAAATTTTACTAATTGCTATTTGGCCTTGAAGGCCAACGCCTTAGATCAGAGCTGGACAAAACCCAAAAAGTTCAGGATAAATAATAATTGATCAGTAATTGGCAGATATTCTAGCAAAGAAATGGAGATGAACAACATGTCCTATTTTTTTCCTTCCCCCAACAGGAATCGTTCACTTCTGATTAGAGATCCTCTGGCTTCTTTCAAGAAATGAGCAGATCTACTGGACAAGTTGTGGCCTGATCAGAAGAGTCTGCACAAAATGAATATCGTTGCGTTATTATTGTTTTGCTTGCCTTCATGTAACGCTTAAAGTCTGAGATAATTCTGGCTCCGTCAGGGGTTGGAAGGAGTTGTGAAAACACACCCGGTACCAAAGGCAGCGTTTGAACAAGTTATTCGCAGCAGTTGGGTTACTGCTTTCAAACTTAATGGGTCAACTGAAGCGATGGATGGATGGATGGGGATCAGGAAGGGAGGTGGGCTGGGGAATCCAGGAATCACGTTTATGCTAGCCAAGCTTCTCTCTTCTCCCTTTTTTATTCCAAAGATCTGAGAAACTATATCCGATACCTGCCTGATGCTTCAGTTTGCAGAGATCAATAATTACTGAATAAATGTTTGTTTTTTTTTCCTTTATTGGAAATGTTCGGTCCATTACCAATATTATCTAGGAATCGGGAGAGATTCTCAGTCATCCAAGTCATGGTTATCCCAGGTGCTTTTTTTCAAGAGGCAGCTGTGGACTTTCTTGTTTTTCCTTTTGAAGACGTTTCGCTTCTCATCCAAGAAGCTTCCTCAGCTCTGACAGGATAGTGGGGAATGGAAAGATTTATACTCCTTGCACACAGCTGTTCATTGGCATCCTTTTAGAGAGTCGTTGAGGCCGCTTGGAGGTTTATCTGTGTCATCAGGGATGACTTGAGTAGTGCAAATGGGTGTGGAGCCTTCATTGAAGCTGACGCAAGGAGTATAGCTGAAAGTCTACACACCAAAATTTCCACTGCTAAGCAAGACAGACTTTTAGCTGCACAATTTGGGATGAACACTCTTTGAATGGTGTGGGCCTAGGAATGGATTTCCAGAGGAACCAGAAGCACTACTCAGGTGACCCTGAGGACACAGATAAACCTCCAAGTGCTTCAAAGACCCTCTAAAACAATGATGGCTAACCTTTTTGCCATCGCGTGCCGGGGTGTGTGTGTGTGTCACCCGCATGCATGCACGACCCCCTCTACGCCCACTGCTCCTGGCACATAATGGCCCGGTAGGCCAGTTTTTCTCTCTCACCTGGCTCCAGAGCCTCCCTAGGAGTCTGGGGAGGGCGAAAACAGCCTTCCCCACTGCCCCCCGGAGGCCCTCCAGAAGCCAGAAATGGCCCTTTTGCAACTTCCTGCTGTTTCTGGCCTCTGGAGGGCCTCTGGGGGGGAGAGGTGGAGGGGAAGACTATTTTTGCCCTCCCCAGACTCCTAGAGAGGCTCTGGAGCCAGGTGAGAGAGAAAAATAGGCCTTCCTGGAGGCAGGAAACAATCTGTTTCCCTACTTCTGGTGGGCCCAGAAAGCCTGAAAATCAGCACGCGCCGGAGCTGAGCTCGCGTGCCCACCAATATGGCTATGCTTGCCACCTGTGACACGCGTGCCATAGGTTCACCATCATGGCTCTAAAAGGATGCAAATGACCAGCTGTCTGCAAGGAATATAAATCCTTCCATTCCCTACTATCCTGCCAGAGCTGAAGAAGCTTCTTGGATGAGAAGCGAAACGTCTTCAAAAGAAAAAAAAAAACAAGGAAGTCCAGTTGCCTCTTGAAAAAGCATCTTTGGGATTATCTAGGAATGCTAAGATTGCTTCCAACACAGCCTTATTAATGAAAGCAGTCAAAAGTTATTTGAACAAGTATACTTTTCTTTAATATGTGTTTTCTCACTAGTAGTTTTCTATCCTTTTGGAAAGTAGACGGAGTTAGTACCTTTAGTTAAAGTACCTAATCGGTAGAATTTGGGTGTCGGGTTGGTTTTTGATATTGCTGTAGTTACTCTGTGGTGTGGTGGGTCGAATCTTGGAACAGACAAGTTTGGACCGAATGCGGTAAATTTTTGTTCTATGCTTTGATTTGTTGCATGAAGCTAAAAAACCGTAAGATGTGGAGAAGGAGGAAGGACTGGAAGAGGAATTGACGAGAAAGGAATTTTGCTATTGCTGTTGGTTAAAAATTGTATGTTGTTCAGAGAACATTAGATAATGATTAAGGACAGGTTGAAAACTGGCTTTGAGATTTGAAAATTGTGCTTGTTTTGAGTGTTGAGATGGATATGATCGTGGATTCACAGCACCACAGTTAAGGTCAGTTGAAATTGTACTGCACTGCCTTCCATCCAGTGCTGGGGAAGACACTCCTCCCAACTCAGGAAGACAAGAATGAGAGACGGAGAGTAGATGACACACTTGCAGGAGATATGTCTTTGATTCTGCTGTGCGTGGATGCATCACGCTTGCTTATTCTTGGTGGCTTATAAATCAACTAACTGATAAAGGAGACTTACTGTATTTTTCGGAGTATATGATGCTCCGGGCTATGAGACACACCTACCTTTTTTGGTGAGGAAAACAAGAAAAAGAAATCTGCCTCTGCCTCCCAGCAATTTTCGTTGCAGCAAACAGCAAACAGCCTGCTTTACTTTCGTTTTCATTTTCAGCATAGCTTGATTAGCACAAGAAAAAAAAAATCTGCTCCCAGCAATTTACCTCCTTGCAGCAAGCAGCAGAGGCCCACACAAAACAGCTGAGAGCAAAACAGCTGAGAGTCGGGAGGCCAATCAACTTGTGCTAATTAGGCTGTGCTGAAGCTGAAACGGGCTGTATCTTCTTGCTGCTTGCTGCAAGGAGGTAAACTGCTGGGAGGCAGAGGCCAAAGGGTGGGGGCCAGTGGGTGGGCGGGGCTACATTCTGTGTATAAGACGCACCTAAATTTTCACCCCCTTTTAGAGAGTGGAAAAGGTGCGTCTTATACTCCAAAAAATATGGTATTTGTAGCTCAGGGTTGAAATGAGAGCTCTTTGATGTTCTCTGAATTTCGTTGCTTTGTTGCAGATGTTTCATTACCAAACTAGGTCTCATCATCAGTGCTAGAAGGGAGTGGGGTTGGCTCTCTGCTTACGTACAAGACGCAATTACAAACCCCACTCCCTTCTAGCACTGATGATGATACCAATACCACTCTCTTCTAGCACTGATGAAGGTACCTAGTTTGGTAATGAAACATCTGCACAAAAGCAACCCACCTCAGACAGCACCAAAGATCCCTCGGAGACAATTAACTTTATAAATGAAAATAATGTAGGGGATTATAGAAAGATGTGTAAGACCCCGTCTCAAAATTGGCCTTAGGATTTGAGGCTGAAGATGTTATGATGCCACATTGATGGTGCAACTAGTCAATGTTTAACCTTGCTTTCAGATTGACAGGCATGGGGCTACCAGCACAGAATGCAGAATCTCTTTAGAATAGTATATGGCATGGGAAAAAAATATGAAAAATATTCTTTACCTCCATTTTTGTTGCAGAGATCTATGAAGCCTGATTAAACCCTAACTATGGAAATAAATAAACTCCTGGCTTTTATAAGCTATGTTAAGACTTTTAGACAGGGGAACTTGTAAAGGCTGTGTTCTTTGTACTGTAGTCCCTCAAGACAAAAGATTTCCCAAGAGTAAGCTTTTTCTAAACAATTATTGAATGTCTTTTATCAATGACGGCTTTTAGATGCATGAGTCAGCTTTGGATGTCACTTCATTTCCTATTTTGACAAGAGGTTTAGTTCATCTCTCATCTTTTGACTCGAAAAACATTTGCCTTTTGTTCAGCAACGTTCTTTTAAACACACGGATCTGAAATACAAAATAATAACAATAGACTTAATAATAAACAACACAGATCATCTAAAACTTCAGCCCCGCTGTTTGAAGGCCGCAGCTCGGTGCCAACTTCTTCCCTAGAAGGAATTCCGGTTGAGATTTAAATTTCAAGTCGGGTCAAGCTCTTACATACAAGTTGCGTTTTTAGAGATAGCTTTGAAGAAATGGAAAATAAAACTCTGGGCCTCTGTTGTTGTGATTTTAAAGGAATTGAAAACATGGAGAATGCGGTTTCAGTTGTTATTCACAATTCTAAACAATTATTGAATGTCTTTACTGATAATGGCTTTTAGATGCATGAGTCAGCTTTGACTGCCTAGAGTTGCTCTGGGTAACAAGGTGGGCGGCATATAAATTTAATAAATAAAACAACTCAAATCAACTCCCATATGGACCTTTTATTCTTAGGCAGCTAGATCTATTTAAGCATCAGATCACAATGGTGACCTACTTCACATATTACTGTACATATACCATATATCTTGATTAGCCATAACTGTTGTAAGGCCCATTTAAAGAGAAAAGCATAGACAAACCTCAATATAACAGAAAAATCTTATTTGATATTACTTGGAATTTATCATATTTTCTGACTTGCCAGAGTAAAAGTATCGAGACTCACATTTCTCTCTCTGGCTTCCTTGCTCTATAGCCATGATGGCGAACCTATGGCACACGTGCCATATTGGTGGGCATGCGGGTGTTGCCCTAGCTCAGCTCCAGCGCGCATGTGCGCACCGGCCAACTGATTTTCAGGCCTTCCGGTCCCACCGGAAGTCGGGAAACTGGCTGTTTCCGGCCTCCGGAGGGCCTCCTGGGGGATGGGGAAGGCTGTTTTTGCCCTCCCCAGGCTCCTAGAAAGCCTCTGGCACCTGGGGAGGGCGAAAAACGGGCCCACCGGGCCATCACGTGCCAAAAGCAGGGGGAAGCATGGGGGGGGTCATATGCGCATGCGCAGGAGGGTGGGGCGCATTGAATTATGGATGCAGGCACATGCACCCGTGATCCCCCCCGCTCCACCCGCTTTTGGCACACGACGGCAAAAAGGTTAGCCATCACTGCTCTATAGTATTGCTGAAAGTTGAACAGTCAACCAAACTAATACAGGTAATCCTTGATTTATGACCACAACTGAGCCCCAAATTTATGTCGCTAAGCAAGCGAGGCTTGCCCCGTTTTACAACCTTTCTTGCCACAGTTGAGAAGTGAATCACCGCCGTGGTCAAATTAGTAACATGGTTGTTAAATGAATCTGGTTTCCCTTGTCACAAGGTCGCAAAAGGGATCAGATGGTCCCAGGCTACTGCAACCGTCATAAATATTTTGATCACCTGACCATGAGAATGCTGCAATGGTCATAAGCATGAAAAAAAGTCACTTTTTTTCAGTGTCATTGCAAATTTGAACGATTATTCAATGAATTGTTGTAAGTCAAGGACTAGCTGTACAAGCAAAAGTACGAAGTTGGATTTTGAAATGGGTGAATATTAATGAAGCGTATTTCACTACTATGTTTTCCCGAAAATAAGACTGTCATATTTTTTTTGAACCCTGAAATAGGCGCTTGGCCTTATTGCCATGCGCTCAAAAGCCCGATCGGGCTTACTATCAGGGGATGTCTTTATTTGGGGGGAAACAGCGTATTCTTAACATAAACTCAAACCTTTTGCTCAATATCTCACAGAAGGAAAATGTTAAGCGTTTAAAATGTTTTAAATTACAAGCCGTTTTGTAACTATAAAACGCCAGTGTTTTTTCTTGTAAAGGTCTGTTTTGTGGTTATGGCAATGTTTATCCTCTTTTCTTCTCCTGGGTGAAGGTATTTTTGGAATTGACATGGACAATTGAATTGAATAAATCTGTGATAATATACAAGAATACAACTGACTTCTCTTGGTTAAATAAAAAAAAAACATTTCTAAGCTTGACAGTTTAGATCTCATGTTTCTTCCGGCTGTCACTACGTAAATAAAACTGGATATTAACTGTTCATTTTAGGCACACAACTTGTGTCCTTGTAGAAATTGGTGGCCTTGTAAATTTCCAAAATAAGTATATAAGTTAGTAGAATAGCCTTTCTTTAAAAAAATAAAAAGTACAAATCCAAGGAGCCTCCTGTGACATTTAAAACAATTGCATGACATACAAGTAATTTTAGTAAAAGTGCAATGTTAATTTCTCACTAAATCTAAAGTTTTAGATGATGCTAAATATTTTAATTAGAGCTACACCACCTGGCACTTAATAAATTTTGATAGCCCTTTTTTTCCCGCCATCTAGCAGTCATCTGAAGGTCCACAGTCCACATTTCGTATAGCTTGAGCTATACAAATCACAAGAGCTTAAGTGTTAATGTTTGGGGCAAATATATATGACATGCTGCACGATTCTTGCTAATGCATTCTGTGAACTAACAGCAGTTTAATAAACCAGATTTACTTTCAAGATAGTGTCTTTCCTCAGTGTGTGTGTGGGGGTGTGTGTGATTGTGTGTGTATGTGCATAATTAAACATGGGAGGGGAAATCAAGCCATTCAGGAATTTCAAGACTATGAAGAGTGCTGGAAAACCCATAAATTTTACAAATCCCAAAGCACATTTTAGGTTTTATCTATCATGCTTAAGTGACAATTTAAACGTGAACTGCCAAACGGGCTTAAATCAAGTTTTGTGACAAAATCAATGCGTGTCTCAAATTTTGCACGTAATCTGCCAAATAGGCCTCGTGATTAGAATATTTGGCGTTGTGTATTCTGCTCTCCCCTCCAGCGCCAGCACAACCCCCCCCCCAAGATTTAATGCTACTATCTCACGTGATCAAACTTGTTTAAGATGCAACCATTTTTCAACATCTCTTTTAGGATTTCCCTGGTAAGAGATATACTTCTCTTACCAGGGAAATCCTGAAAGAGATGTTGAAAAATGGCCTTTATTATTGTTAGGTTGTCCTCGACTTACAGTTAGTGATCGTTCAAAGTTACAACGGCACCGAAAAAAGTGACTTACGACCGCTTTTCACACGATTGTTGCAACATCCTCCTGTGATCTTTTGCAACCTTCTGACAACCCAAAGTCAATAGGGAAGCCAGATTCACTTTAAAATCTGTGTTATTAATTTAATCAATTGCAAAGATTCACTTAACAATGGTAAGAAAAGTTGCAAAATGGGGCAAAACCCAATGTTTCATTTAGCATCGTAAATGGGCTCAATTGTGTTAAGGACTACCTAATTTTTCTACTAGACAATTGTAGTGTGCTTTTTTTAGCCATTTTAAAATAAATACCACTGTTGCAACTTTTCTAATTACTGCAAATGTAAGAAATAATTGTTTCATGACATAAACTAAGTGGAACTTTTTGCATTGGGAAGAAACTTGGAAGACAGGTTTTTCTTGTACTTTTGTGTAATAATCACAGTAAGCAAGAAATTTAAGTACATAAATTAGGAGTGCGTGTCACTTAATTGGCAGCAGGAAGGAATATAAAGGTTCTTGAGTTTGGAGTGCAAGAGATGCATTTTATTGTATGCTCATTACAATGAGTAACACATTTTAAAATAATAATCCCACGTAACAGTGACAATCTTATTTTACAGCGTGTACATCATTTTTACAGCCACATAAAACACAAGTAGTCTCCTATGGTTTCCCAAAGTTAACTTTCCGAAGGTTGGAAATATATATATAAAAAAATTATTTCTCAAGGAACTGATTCTCATCTGGTGCAAAAACAAAGTATGAACATTATCTGAAACACAAAACCACAATATAGTAGCATGAATGAATTAAAAGTTACAATTTTATCATGTGAACAGCTGTGTGCAAACATGAAGCAACTTAAAAACTTTTTTTTTCTTTAAAAAAAGGACACGTATGTATAACATTTATGAAGGTTTTTCTTTTTAATTATTAAATAGCCCTAGACCAGCTTGTTATATTAAGCGGCATTTTTGCAGCATGCTAACACAAAGCATTGTTTAAAGGGATGCGTATTTCAAATGTATACACTGTAAACTGAAAATCCGTGTCTGCCCCCAAGTGGCAGCTTACTGTTCGGGTTAAATACTGCATACATAACTTCCATACAGATTGAGAATGCAAGTTTATAGTATGGTATATGAAGGTGCAATTTTCGTTTCTATACTGATTTCTTTAAAGAAAAGAAAAGAAAAGAAAAGAAAAGAAAAGAAAAGAAAAGAAAAGAAAAGAAAAGAAAAAAGATTAATAGCAAGTCAGGGCCATGGATGCCGACTTGCCAGAAACACTGCTTTTGAAAGATTCTCTAGGATTTTCCAACAGCTGGCATTGTTCTACCTTGATACTCGCTCTTAAAGACGGTTGTGAAGTCACAAGAAAAGAAAAAAAACCAGTGCCCCATAACTGCATCTATTGGGGTTTTTTTTTTACTTCTTCTTTTTTTTTAAAAAAAACAAAAAAACATTGGTCAAAAGTTACTCGTAATAGTAATATATGTGCCGTATTAAACATTCAGCTGTAGTTTCGGGTAAAAAGGGAAATTATGTACATACATGTCCTCGGTCCCTAGCACCAAACGTTTGATCTCGGAAAACATAATGCTGTATTTTTCAACACGATATCCGGTAGTACAAAATAGGTTAGCAGCTCTGAAAGAAAACTTTGGAAATTGCTCGTTCAACAAACAAAAGGGAGAAAACAAAAGGTTTACGTATGAAATGTTATGATTGCTTTAAAACGAGGGATTAAAAAAAAAAAAGGACAGATCTTAAAATTTGACCCATTTCTCGAATACTATGTCCCAGCACAATTTTCTTTTTCTTTTAAAAAAAAAAAATGTAAGGATTACATGACTGACTTCTATCTAGCTTCACTGTTCGAAACTGCAATGTGGTATAATTTGTTCTGGCAAAAAACACTTTGAAAGAACTTCTGTCCCTGGTTTTCGTTAAGGTGACAAATGGCGTTATTGATATAAAGAGTTAACGGGAATGGACTTAATATTTCTTTCTCGCTTCGTAACGTGTTAACGCTTTCTAATTAACAGAAGACATTCAAGGTCTGTTTCTGCAGCTTTCTCGAAACATTCATCTCTCCCGCGTTTTATAGTGCTCGTTAGGTTCCTATAAGCGACAATCATCGGGCTATGAGACACCCAGTCGACCGTAATACTTTTTTTTTTTTTAAGACTTTTAATACAAAGAATGCAAAGTTATGGTTTAAGATCAAGCTTTGAAACCAGGAGAAACAGTTCATGAGAGTTTCCTTCCCCTATCAAACATTGTCTTCCGCAGCGCCGATGCTACATGAGAGCCTCTTTGTGATGCCTCATGATGTGTTGGTTTTTCTCCGAAGGCCTCCGGAAGCCCTTTTTACAATACTCGCACCTGTGAGGGTAGTCCTTCGTGTGTATCGATATGACGTGCCGCTTGAAGCCCGAGGCGTCCGTCGTGCTGTATTCGCAATACTGACACTGATAGACTTTCCTGCCGCTGTGGGTCTTCATGTGCTTCTTGAGTTCCATCTGCTGCCGGAATCCCCTCTTACACCGTTTGCATTTAAAAGGCAGGTCCTTGGTGTGAACGGAGAGGATGTGCCCACTGAGTACAAAAGGGTCGGAAGTCTTAAAATCGCAGTGCCGACACTGGTGGATTTTTTTCCCTTTGTGGGTCTCGCTGTGCTTTTTGAGCTCCGAGGGGCGGTGGAAACCTTTCTCGCAGACCTCGCATTTGTGAGGGAAGTCTTTCGTGTGAACGGAGATGATGTGCCGCTTTAGGTCGCTGGAGTTAGTGCTCTTGTGGTCGCAGTGCGGGCACTGGTGCGTCTTGTGCCCCTGAAAGAGTTCCGTGTGCTGCTGCAGCTCCTTCTCGTCGGGGAAGGCCTGCGGACAGTGTTCGCATTTGAAGGGCAGGTCCGTCCCGTGCTTGGTTTTGATGTGCGTCTTCAGGTTGGACTGATCGGCGCAACGGAAGACGCAATGCTGGCACTGGTAAGGCTTCTCCCCCGTGTGGGTCCTCATGTGTTTTTTCAGCTCCGAAGGGTGGCGGAAGCCTTTCCCGCACTCCACGCAAACGTGGGGGAAGTTCTTGCTGTGAACCGCGAGCAGGTGCCTGTTCAGCAGGCCTTGCTCCGCGGTTTCGTAGTCGCAATATTTGCACTTGTACAGTTTGGGTTCTTTATCGCGCAAGATGAGTTTGTTGGAACTCAACGGGCTGGCTTCTCGGTAGCGCCTGGTGTACTCGGTGAATTCGTGCGTTTTGTCCCCTTTGTTGATCAGCTTATGGCTTTCCAGGTGATTGTGGAAGCTGACTTTTTTGTTGGTTGTGAAGTCACAGTCTGTGCACTGGTATTTCTTCTTAATCATGTGATCTGGGTGGTTTTTCATATGCCTTTTCAAGAATCCCCTGGACTTAAATTTTTTCCCACATATGTGACAAGGATAGACTGTCAAGGGCTGTCCGTCGGGACCTATTATAACAGCTGGGTCAAATAAACAGAAAAAAAATATGAAATAAATTACGTTATTGTGAAGTTACACAGAATGCAATAGCAGCATAAAAGAAAGCAAATCTTTCAAGAGCTAACAATGCAAACCAACACATGATAGGACTACTCAGGCGTAAATATTTTGCGGAATTAAATGAAACCTTGTTTCCAGGAAAAATATGTATTGGACTGCAAAAAGTGACAATCAAAATCCTTGACAATAATTGTCAATAATAAGTCACTTTTTACTCTTCTATATAGTTCTATATAGTTATAAATATTGCAAATGTACCTAAGAACTCACTCTGCTGAACAATTCAACGTATTCCCAGTTCTAATCCTCTTAAAATAATCTATAGTTTTTATTACAGAACAAATTTTTAAAAAGTAAAATTTAAAGAATTGAGGTCTATTATTTCCAATCAGTAATTAGTTTTCAAGTTTTCCCAAAACAAGTATTAGTTTATCTATCTTCTTTAATCAAGTTAATTTTCTATAACCAATTTACACTCTTTTCCGATTCTACAATGAACATATATTGCTTTTATCCCTAAAATCTGACATACAAGATTTTTAACTCAATTGGGGATCTCCATGAAGGATCAAAAGGATCATGGTCAAAGCCCCATCCTTTTGACATGGTGCAACATCTGTGTGGATTGTGATACTATGACCACCATCTTTTGCCTGTTTCAACTCTACTTGTAGATGCTGCTGGATTCATTAAATATTTAAAAAAAGGACACGTCTCTTGACTAACATCTTTTTACTACACATTAATAAATATAACTATTTTTGATCTAAAAATTAGACTCTCTATTTCAATATTGCTTAACGCATTGTAAGCCGCCCTGAGTCTCCGGAGAAGGGTGGTATATAAATTAAAGCAAAAAAAAAAATGTAATGTATTTTCCATAATAAAGTGATAATTTCTACTGAGCTGTGGACATGCACTAAAGGTATCAGAAAATGTATATTTTGTTC